GGGGATTACTCGCTTTCTGTCTCTCTGTCTCTGTTTTTCTGGCGAGGGCACGTGCCTTGTAGCAAAAACCTCTCCAAAAAAAAAAAAAAAAAGATCTGATTGGCCTCTGATCCTGTCATTCAGTTTGGAATAACCTGAAACTCCAAATTTCCAATGATTTTCCCTGTTTCCACTCAACTCTCCTTCCATTTTACCAGTTTCAGCTGTCATTCAGAGAGAAAGCCAAAGACAGCCACTATCCATAGCTAATAAGATCCAAGACAAAGTGGACAGGGGTGTGGTGCGCAGGAGCAGAGGAGAGGCGCCGGCACCTACCCCTGCACCCACTCACCCAGGACAGCACAGGCCAGCAAGGCGCTCACGGCCAGCCTCATCCTCGCGGTCGGTCCCAGCGAAGCGTCCGCACAGACTGGCCGGTTGCTGTGCCGCTGCCCGCTCCGGGGCGCCTTTATCCCCGCCGGGGTCAGCGGGGCCCAATCTTTGACCCCGGTGCTTGCGCAGCCCAGTTGCCCAATCGCTCCGCCCCGGCCCCCTCCCTGCCTCGTCCCACTGATCACCTCATTTCCTGAGCTCCGGGGCTGACCGAGGACGAATCCCGCACAAAAATGCTGATTGGAAGAGAAATAAAGTAAAATGCTCGCTTTGTTATTGCTGCTGGCCCGGTGCCGCGAGCGCCTGCAGCTGGCTGGGAGCGGGCTCCGGAGCTGCCAGCACAGCTCTGGCCTCCTGCGGATCAGATCGGATCGCACACTCGCAGGTGCAGACCCTGAGGCTGAAGAGGGACGGGACCTGCTCCCGGGGCTGGGTTCCTAGGGCTGGGAAATGGCCCGCAAAACCTTTCCTGGGACCGGATGTAGGAGGCTAGGCTCAAGTCAACGAGGTCAAACCCAGCGCCTGGGCTCCTCAGGTGTTCCCGGAATCCTGCTCCTAGGACCTCAAAGGCACCCCCTGCACCGCCCCTTGGAGACAGCACTCCCTGTGCTGGAAGACCTGCCCTCAAGCTCCCGTGGGACCACTTGGGCTGGGGACAGTCGCTAGGGAGATGAGCGCTGTCCTACGAGAAGGTGGTCAAGACACGGGCAGACTGAACTAGGGCCACTCAGTGCAAAGCCGCCAGGGCAGGGCGCGGCTGTCCCACAGCCGCCAGCCACTCTGTCTGTCCCCTCTCAGCCGTTTCGATCAAGACCTTTACCATGAAAAATATTAAACTTATGTTTTTTATATATTTTTAAAAACAAAAATAGTGTACATTTCAGTCGTGCATAAGGAATAGAAATGTATTAAAAGATTTATAAAGATGAATCGAACGCACTTTTACATAGCTTCTACTTATGCGCTTTATGTACGATGAATTCTCTCCCAACACACAGTGTACACTTAGGCAAAGGTCAAGCTTCCTTAGCAAAGTGCGAGTTCAGATTTTAGTCAAGATAATTGGAGGTTTTGGGGAGCCAGCAGGTGGCATGGTGTTTAAAGCACTGGACTCCCACATAGTCAACCACAGTTCGAGTCCCAGACTCAATGGCTTGAAAATCATGCCACGTGTGTGTGCACGTGTGCTCAAAATCCTGCGAGGAGAATGGAGGAGAGGAGAGGGGAGTGGTGTGGCTATCCCATCTGGGGTGGGGGTGATTTCTCATTTTCCCTCCCTCTGTCTCTCTCTGTTTCTCTTAGACACACCCTATGGCAAAAACTAAAAAAAAAAAAAAAAAAAAAAGGATAATTTGGGGGTTTTCCAAAAACTATTTCCTGTCCAGGTGATCAGGTGGTCATGGTTCTGACACGTCATTTTAGCTGACAGCAGTACCAGGCCAGCAGACGTGCCAGCCTGGCTGTTTTATTTTGCTCGCTTGTGTTTGCGTGATCAGAATTCTCTTCTAATTCTGGCTTCTTTGCAGCGATCTTTTTAAGGTCTCTGTGCCTCTTGTGAGGATTAGAGTTAAAGCCAGCATATGCACACGACAAGATGTGGGAACAGAAATGCCGAGGACACGACAGGTCAGGGCGCCACCACCACCCAGCAGCCCCCGTCACTGTGCGGCCGTCTCCCTCTTCCTGCAGGGCACGTCAAAGGCACCACTCCACACGCTCCTGTTCGGCTTCCAGGCCTGACCCCCGTTCCACGCTGGTGGGTGATAATCTGCTCACCTTCTGAAATAACTCTAACTGAGAGCTAGGGTATGTTCCCCTATCCCGAGAGGTGGTCTCATGCACATGTCCTGCTTCAGACCCATTGTGGTTTTTTTTTTTTTGCTATAGGGCACATGCGCTTGCCAGACAGAGAGAGAGACAGAGAGACAGGCAACGAGAAATCACCCCCCACAGGGGATGGCCACGCCGCAATCCCTTCTCCTCCATTCTCCTTTCAGGATCTTGGGCACGCACGCACACGCGCCCGGCATGAGTTTTAAGCCACTGGGTCCAGGACTCGAGCTGCAGTTGACTATGTGGGAGTCCAGATGGCCACGCCGCAATCCCTTCTCCTCCATTCTCCTTTCAGGATCTTGGGCACGCACGCACACGCGCCCGGCATGAGTTTTAAGCCACTGGGTCCAGGACTCGAGCTGCAGTTGACTATGTGGGAGTCCAGCGACATAGCCATTATGCCAACTGCTGGTCCCCAGACCCATTGTTTTAGCAGAGGCTTTGTGTCTGTAATGGGAACATAGGGCTGGTCCAGTCTCCCAAACACAGGCCTCACCAACGAGAGGAGAGGCCATGGCTGCCCCGGCTATGGCTGCCCCGTTTCATGGGTGCCTTGAGCTTTAGTCGTGGGAAGGTAAGGCTCTGAGCCAGGGTCTTATCCCCACTGCCCCCAGCAGCAGGTACATGGGATGGTCTTGGTTCACGTGAAGACCTGGAGGTGGGTGTGAAGATGGAGGGGAGACATGGGGGCAGGGCCGGCTGGGAGCGTCCCTACCAGAACTTACCCTCTAGCTGATGCCTCCTGCGGGCCCTGCTGTGAGCTCGCAGGGTCTGCCAGGAAGTAGGAAAGGGTGTCGCCTAACGAGCTAGCACCACAAGCTCAGGGAAGCTTGGTGCACGTGGAAGGCAGGCAACAGTGATCCCCCTCCCTGGACTTCTGTTACAACCATGGAGTGAGCCTTCCAGAGGCCACTGTCCTAGCTGCAGGCCCATGGCCCAGCCAGAGCCCTTCAGGAGGGAGAAACCTTCGACCAGGCTGAGAGCTCCCAACTGGCCAACTCCCTGCCCTCTGCCCTCACAGACTCCTCTGCATCCATGTTCAAGACGGGTGCTAGGAGCACGGGCACAGGTTACGGGGCGCGGAGAAGCTTGGATGAGACTTGGAGATTATGGGGTGTGGAGAAGCTTGGACGAGACCTGGAGGTTATGGGGCACAGAGAAGCTTAGAGATGACGGGGCACGGAGAAGCTTGGACGAGACCTGGAGAACAGGCACTACTGCCCACCCACACCTGCATGGGGAGCTCCAGGGCCTTGGTCTTGCTCAAGAGAAGGACAGCAATGGAACCCTGTAACTGACACCCCTAGGAGGGGTGGGCGTGGGGCAGGGAGGGCTGGCTCTGAGGGTGTGCATGTGTGCGCCATCTGGTTCTGTGGGACACCCTCATCTGCATATGTCTCCAGGGGCATGTGGGGGAGAGGCTCACTGACGGCCATCCGTGTCTTTGGTGGCTCATGACCCTCGAGCTGTGTCTCACTGAAGTTTAGTCCTACACCAGAGCCCCTCTGGGGTCAGAACAGCCATCGTCTCTTTACGGCTTAGTGGTGGCTGGTAGTGTTTGAGAGCTTCCCTGCGTGCTTGCTGCAGCCCTCCGCATTGGCGCTTGGGGCTTTCATCTTACCGGTATGTTAAGAGAACTGAAAGCCACAGGGGGCAATACCTTGTCCAAGGTCAACTGGCAAGTCAGAGTGCAAAGGCAGGCAGTCTGAGTGTAGGCGCACATCCGCCGGGACACTGCCTCGCCCAGGAAATGGGACATACGCAGGCCAAGCCACTCACCTGCGGCCACACTGAGCCTGCCCTTACTCACAGACACACGGCCCTAGGTTTCTGCCCACGGAGGGGCTGGTCAGGGCAGTGCCCAGCTGCAGACCTGACATGGGCTGGCTTTGCTATGTTTCGCTGGCAGGAAACGCTGTCCTCCTGCACGGGCCAGGTACTGCTCCAGAGCGAGGCCTTTGGTCTGGAGAAGAGCCCCTCAAGAGAAGATCAGGACCCCCTTGTTCCGATGTGGACATGACAGGTCCTCATTCACAGAGCTTTGGGACCTGAACTCCAAACGCCTCAATTTCAGCCCTTCTTGATATTATCTTTGCTATTTATGTGGAGGAGGAAGGGAGAGGGGAGGGCAGGTGAGAGAGACGGAGAGAGCGGTGGAGGAAGTCAGTTCCAGACCATCTCTAGCAAGACCCACATCTTCCAGATAGGCAGCAGAAAGCCCTTTGGCTCCAGCCCTGGGATACAGGATTAGCTGTCTCACAAAGTGCTGAACTTGTGTGTACGTGCGGGGAACTAGAGAAGCTGACCCGCGGGATGGTGGGCGTGGGCAGGAAGGTTGTGGGCCTCTGAACCAATATTTGTTGTTTCCAAATGTTGCCCAATTTACACAGAAGCAAAGCAAACAAAGACCTTCTGTCTGCCACAGCCGGCGCCTCCTCTCCCTCCCCCTCATTGTCCTCTGTGGACACCACACCAGAGCCTCCTCCTCTGGAATCCTCGGTCTGGGTCATCCCTGGGAGGGAGGGAGCAGCCTGGCACCTGAGAACATGGTCATAGAGCCCGTCACCCTGCAGGCCACAGGGGCCGGGGGTAGGTCAAGGCAGGTGAGAACAGGGCAGGGGCCTTTAGGAAAACGTCAGGCATTTTGAATTGTCATATGTCTCTCACTTTTCTCTCTCAGTTCTAACCCGTACAAGTTCTTGGACAATGTAAGATGCTCAAGGTTTCCTTTTTTTTATAGGAGGGTACATAAAATTACCCTTCTCATGAAGACTGGTGCAGGGCCAGGTGGAATGAATCTAAAAAACACTTAAGAAGTACACGAATCTTACACACCTTCCAGGGACCAGTAAGGTGGGAAGATTTCCTGAGTAATGTGTGGAGTACAGTATGTACTTTAAATAGAAAGACCAACAAAGACATCATGGCAGAGATAAAAAGTATCTTTTATGGGGCCAGCAGGTGGCATGGTGGTTCAGGTGCTGGACTTCCACGTGACTGACCAGGGTTCAAGTCTTGGATGCGGTGGCTTGAAACTCATGCCAGTTACATGTGTGTGCATGTCCAAAATTCTGAGAGGAGAATGGAGGAGAATAGATTGTGGTGTGGACATCACTCCGGAGGGTGATTTCTCACTTTCTCTCTCTCTCTGACTCTGTCTCTCTGGTGAGCACATGCACCTTATGGCAAAAAATCTCTCTCTAGAACAAAAAAATACACACACACGCACACACACATACACAC